ATTTTTTTTTTTGGAATGGAATAAAACCAAAGACCAAATTCCAAGACAGACAAATACTTCCTTTGCTCTCTTTTGAGTATCCATTATGCAAACTCACAGTGGTATATACACAAGTAAACATGGTTGGGGAGAGAAAAAAGGAAAACATCTGTCCTTCCTGAAAATGGATTTGTTACTAATGGATAACAAGTGCTTAATCCTTTGTGGGGGAACAATCCGGCATACAGAGAGGGGTTAGATAGAGCGTAGGAGTAACCACGTCTGTTAAATCATTCGGATCACTATTAGGTTCCTTAGGGACCTACTGGTTAAAGATGTTTATATAAGTTAAGCAGAACCTTCTGTGTACTACTCAGAAGTAAGTATCACTGTATCCTGGGATGAGGTGGTCCTTCAACAAACTGGTTGATGAAAGTTGGCTAATCAGAGAACCAGCCTGGTCACTTAGAAGCAGCAAGATACTCATCTACTTTTATCACAGGAAGATGAATTTGATAGTCTGGATTTAAGTCAGATGGTTAATGGCCAGTCTCTAGTGTAAGTACCAGGAGGACTCCATGCCCCCTAGCTCTTGCACTAAGTCTTTTCATTCTGTCTCTTACCCTCTTTGCTTCTCTTTGAATGCGATGAATATAACTCTTGGCTCCTAATTTCTACTTGAACATCACCATTAATGCTTTCCTTCTAGTTCCCAGGAGATCTGAAGCCTTTCTCAATACAATGTGGCATCAAGAAGTTTTTTTGTTTTGTTTTTTAAAGCTAGGTAGTTTATTCTACTGTTTTCCCTGACTTTTCTATGTGTGTGGAAATTTTCAAAGTTTGCTTTTGGAAAAAGTATATGTATTTTCCCCTCCCAGAAAAGTTACTGATCTCAGCTACAGGCAGCATTGCTAGAAGTCTGCAGTTGATCTGGATGAATACAGAGAATGTTGCAAGCTCCTGTTCACACATCAAAGGAAAATCTCTCTGAACAAAGGGTGATTTTGAAGCAAAGCAGGGAGAAGGAGGGTATGAAGACAGTCCCTAGAACTCAAAACTGGGCAGTAGTAATAGGATGTAACTGTCTATAATACTCACACTGTCAGAGCAGACTCTTCACTATTTAGGGCTATGTGGTATAGTGGAAAGATATAAAACCAGAAGTACCTGATAAAAATTCAAGTGTTGATATATATTAACCAAGCTTTTAACTAAGACACTTGACCACCCCGATTCTGTAGTGTCTACTTATGAAAAACACCAATAATAATAATTCTGTAAGTGTAACAATTTGTTACAGCGGGGAGTGCAGTGGCTCTGCACACTAAGCACTGGACTGAGAACCACAAGGTGTGGTTCAGGTTCAAGAGCCACTCTGGTGGAAGAAAGATGAGGTTTTCTGGGAAACCTGGAAACCCTGTATAGACTCAACTTGAGGGCATTTAACAATAACTGTTACAGCAAAAATGATATCCTGATACAGTAACACTCCCAAATGATTACAATTGTTAACAAGGTTTTCAGTGGGGAGAGCTAAAATTGCTCTCCATTGATGTTTTTACAAAATTATTTTCATCTTTCACTAGAGACACTAGAGAGAATGATATTTGACATCTTTTGTTCTTGTTTATGCCAACCAATTTTTAGTAGCAACATGGCTTTCTGTATATATCATCCAATTCGTTTAAAAAACCAATAAACAAATGCATTTATTGTCTCACAACATAAAGGAATTTGAGAAAGGACACTCAACTTGACATTTTTGTATCTCTTTAATTTTGGATCATGAATTTTTTGTGTGTAAATTAATAATGAAGTGGAGAAATAGACTGACCCAGTCTCTTCCTCCCTTTATCATGACTGTCTATGCATCAGAAGCAGGAAAATCCCAAACTATAAACCCAAGACACCCTTGCTACTAAAGTTCTACACACTAAATAAATAGGTGTCTCCAATGAGATGCATCAGAACAAGATCTGCAAATGCTGTTTTGATGTTGTTGTTAGCATATTAAAACACAATTGTATAGCGGTGGGAGACCTTGGTTTTTCTGAGACAGTGTCCCACTCTCCTGTAATTTGTTCTGTGGGTGTTGAGAGGAGGTTGTAACTATAAATTCCACCCACCTGACTGTGGTTAATGAGCCAGTTCGTCAAAGCTGTTCAGTCATTTCTGGAAACCCATCCCTTCTCCAGCTTTCCCTAAATTTTCAATGTCCCTAACTATACAGAGTCGCTATGAGTCGGACTCAATGGCACTTAACAACAAAAACAACAATTTTCCGTGACAAATTATTTCTGCTTTGAGAAGTCAATTGCTACAATTGTAAACTTTTTGTGGGCGGAGATCTTGTGAAGACATATCCTTGGAGGGAGATAGATGATAAGCAAATGAATAAGTAAAACTTTTAGCGATATGGTGATAAGTATATAGGTAAAAACATATCTGACAAAGGGGATTTGAGTGTGTGCACTTTGTTGCGGGTTTTAAGTAAAGTAGTGAGGGAAGGACTCACTGATTAGGTGACTTTTGAATAGAGATACGATTGTCTATTATGTCAATCGTGTGAAGGTGCTGGTGGAATTACTTTATTAGAATGCAATGATCCAATTTTTCCTTACTTTAACCTCTGGGATTATAGTACTTTCCATCTCTAGGCGGGTGTACTGTTTAACCACAGAAAACATGGCGGGAAAGGCTTCAGTCCGACACTTGTGCCCCTAATAAAGATGACTACAGCACTTCCTTTGTTTGCCCTCAACAAAGATGGCGACGGAACTTCCTGTCAGGGTTTTCGCCATCAACAAAGATGGTGTCTATGGTACAGGTTCCTTAACGTTGTGTGTTCCGGTTGCAGTGTTTTGTTTTTTTTAAGATACGTGGTTGCCGACGTAAGTAACAGCAAACCAGAAACTCCGTGTCCATCTTTTCTCAAAGGCCTTGCGCCGTGGTGTCTGCGGCCCGGGCCCTGCGTGGCGCTCTCGCTCCTCTAACTTGTGCGCTGGGTTTTCGAGACTAGCCGGGTTTTGGGGTGGCTGTACTGGTAACGCCGATCCGCTGTCCCCTCGGTCCTTTCTGAAGATCATTCTCAGGTCTATTTATAGCGGACCAGGTTGCCCCGAAATCTTTCGTAGTTTTTCCTGTTTGTAATACACCAAGGGCGAGGCAGGGAATAAAACAAGTTCCAAATCATCTCTCAGCTAAGTGTGCACCGTTTTCTCCTCGCCTGCAGCCTCCCGGACTTTCTATCTAGGGACAGCGAGGAGAGCTCAGGCCTTGCTGGCCGTGGTTGCACTGTCTGTGCCTGTCTGAAGCCCCATCTGCCGTCCTCCGTCCCTTCCCAGACACTTAACCTCTGTAAGTGTCAGGAATTTTCGTTGTCTCCATTCAGCTGCCCCAGCTCATAGCTGCAGAAGTTGTGGAAATGTGCATGTGTGGCTGCAACAGTGTTACTACAAGGATTCTGAATTCTTGCAAAGAATGAGATTGTATAAGGTTTATTGTAGATTAGGCACAAACAATAAGTGCTTTTCTTGAAGGTGATGATGGTGTAGAGGTCTTTTCTCTTAATGAAAAAGATCCTCAAAGGCAAAAATCGGCTGGATTTTGTCCCCCATTGCCAGTGTTGACCAGATTCTGTAAGTGCCCACAGTCAAACGGGTACTTGCATCTACAGTGGCAGCTTCTGAGCTGGTGGAGAAGCAGAGGCGATGGAAGCGCTGGTGAAGACAATGTTGACACAAAATCAGTTTCTTCTCAACCGTGTTAAAATGAAATGCTCTGTACTTCTTGGATAAAAATAGCTTTGGAAGCAGAGTCTCTTACCAGCTCCCCTCACCTTCCAGTCCTTGCTGGACAAGGACCCATTGTGTGAAATGCATAAACTGAGAAGACATGCTGCTTCTTCACGTTTATTCTTTTTATTCATGAACATTTAAAAATATTTCAGTTTGGTTTGTTGTTGTTAGATGCTTTAGACTCAGTTCCAGCTCATAGCAACCCTAAGTGCAATGGAACCAAATACTAACCAGCCCTGACCAGCCTCACAATTTTTCCTGTGTCTGAGCCCATTCTGGCAACCACTGTGTCATCCATCTCTTTGAGGGTCTTGCTCTTTATTGCTGACCTTCTACCAAGCATGATGTCCTTTCCTGGGGAACGGGTCCGTCCTGATAATATGTTCAAGGTACATTAGATGAAATCTTACCATCCTCACTTCTAAGGATCGTTCTGGCTTTACTTCTTCGAAGACAGATGTTTGTTCTTCTGGTAGTCAGTGGTATATTCTTTGCCAACACCATCATTCAAATGCATCAGTTCTTTGGCCTTACTTATCCATTGTTCAACTTTTGTATCAAACACTGGCACTCTGCTAAGTCAAAGAATTTCTGGATGGTAAGGTGCTCTGGTAGAGTAGTGGTTACGAATTGGGCTGCGAACCTTAAGGTCAGCAGTTCGAAACTACCAGCCGCTCCATGGGAGAAAGATGAGGCTTTCTACTCCCGTAAAGATTTACACCCTCGGAAACCCTGTACAGGGTCGCTATGGGTCGGAACAGACTCGACGGCACTTAACAACAACAACAACAAAGGAGCTTTTACATTGTCACAACAGTACCTCCAGGGTTGACACTGTCTTTAGGGACTCATCAACATACGTGTAATCTGAGTTTCGTTTTTCTTTTTTCCCAGAGGGAAATGGAGGCTCGAGACAAGCAAGTGCTTCGATCGCTTCGCCTGGATCTAGGTGCAGAGGTGTTGGTGGAGGGACTGGTTCTTCAGTATCTTTACCAGGAGGGGATCTTGACGGAAAACCATGTTCAAGAAATCAAAGCTCAAGCCACGGGCCTCCGGAAAACAATGCTGCTTCTTGATATCCTACCTTCCAGGGGTCCTAAAGCATTTGATACATTCCTAGATTCTCTGCAGGAGTTTCCCTGGGTAAGGGAGAAGCTGGAGAAGGCGAGAGAAGAAGCTGTGATTGAACCGCCTGCAGGTAGGCCTCAAAAAGATCGTGTAAAACCAGTCCCAGAATTGCTGGAACTGTGCCTTTTATATCTGAAGTTGGGGTTTTAGGCTAAGGGCGGGCTGGGTTCCTGAAAGTGGGTAAGTTTGGACTGAAGACATTTGGCAATGGAGGGACAGGATGAGGAGGTGGAATTAGGAAGTGCAGGGAAGGAAGGAAGAATGAACCATGATTATGAGGTTGAGGAGGGAGGTCAGAGAATACATTTAGAAATGCTTCCAGGGAAACTTGGCAAGCCACTTGGGAAGCATGTTCTCATGAGAGAGCCAGGTCATATCTCAGCCCTTGGCATCAGGAACCATTTGGAAAGTACAGATGGGAAAGCAAGTCTTAGGTCTACTGGTAACTGATTCGAGAGGTGCCAGAGCTGCAGGCTGGAAAAGGTCAGGTTCATGAAGGAGGAGACAGAGCCTTGCACCTGTTCCATGGGCTGTCACTATCTGTCCAAAGGGAATTATTTGTTATGAGTGACTTAGTTTGTTTTTTTAAAGGTTACTGGCTTAAGGCTTTCCTTTTTAGTTTGGCTTTGTTTAGGCTCCTGGAATATTACTTTTATAAAAGCAACAGTTTGGTAAGGTCTCATTTTGATTTTAAGAGGAGTTGGAAGCACTGAGAAAGAGGAACAATCCCAGGACCCTTAGTTTGACTTGTTGAAAGATGATGTGATATGAAATATTTATTCTCTCTGAACACCTTGCATGGTGTCTGCTTTTTAAAAAAAAAACAAAACGAAAACAAAGATTGCGTGACAGGGAATTGAACTGACAAAAAAAAAAAAAAAAAAAAGTTCTCCCACGTAAACTATCACATAATTCACAATAAAACATTTGAAAAAAAAAAAAAAAAGAAAAATGAGCAGACAATTCAAAGGTGCTTGCACATTTTCAACAGACCTAGGAAATCCATACTGTCTAGGGCTTCTGATAGCCATGACAGTATTCCGGACAGTCAGTGGTACCTAGACTCTGTTGTTATCTAAATACCAACTACAAAACAAATACCAGTAATAAGACATCACTGTTATTATTTGATGAGGTTCTATGGACCTCATATTTTGAATGATTTTCCAGATCACATGTGTCAGGTAAGTTTAATCTATTCTTCTATTTTTATTAATGGCGTGTATCTGACTACCTGATTAGCATGTGATTAACCAGTTAATTTAAGAACACCTGGTAAAATCCCCATGGATTGCTTTATGAAAAGCAAACATTTTCGTTTCCTAAATTGGCCAAATTACAGGTAAATGTGGTTTTGGCTTTTTAAAATACATTGAGAACCACAGGAATCCTCAGGTTGGATTGTCCTGATATAATTAAATAGTCTAGGTGTCGGAACAAAACCAAATGAAAGAACCTGAGACATTTATACCAGTTTACTGAAAGTAGGGTAAGTAACAGAGAATCGGGGTTAAAAGGTATTACAGTATCCAATCTCTTTTTTTGGCATTTGACTTAGAGGCCCTCCTGACAGCCCGTAATTGGAAACAACAAAACAGGCAAACTGAAAGCCTTTTCCTATCAAAATATTTAATTTTATAATCCTTTTTTGGGCTGTGTAAATAGTACTGTTGCTCATAATTCAAGGACATGTGACCCCATTTTCAGTTCTTCAGATTTGTTTGGATAACAAGAAATTAAGCTGTTTTTAATCAAATGGTCAAAGTTATATAAAGAAAATAGTTTTTTTCTTTTTCTTTTTTTTTTAAGCAAGTAGAATTGAAGAGTGGGAAATAGAGTGGGGAGAAAAGTGAGCATATTTGTGTAGAAGTTTAGAATAATAATGTTTCCCTCAAGATTTATTAATGCTCTAGAAATCATCAAGTGGAGAGAGAGGTTGGTGAACAAATAATGTCCCCTGAATCCTTTTGCTTCTTGATGAGTAACACTGAGAGCATGGCGTGAGGGTGGGATCTGACTCCTCTAACTTCACCAGGGGAAGGGAGAATGAAGATCAACAGGCCAAGGTTGATTCTTGTGAGGCAGAGGTCAGACAGGCCTCTACCCTCTAACCTTCTTACCAATTCTGATAGCTGTCCCTCCTGCGATACTCTTTACTCTGCTGAGTCCCAGAATTCATTGCAGAGGCCTCGAAGAACTCATAGGCAATAGTCACAGTTCGTTGGGAAGTGGTGGTGGTGGGGGTTATGTGCTGTGGAGTTGGTTCCAACTCATAGCCACTCCAAATAGGGTTTCTGATATTGTAAATATTCACAGGAGCGGGGAGTCTCATCTTTCTCCTATGGAGCAGCTGGTAGATTCAAACTACTGACCATATGGTTAGCAGCCCAGTTTGCAGGTTACAATTCAGAATCAGGAGTTACTCAGGCTGCAGTGCTGTGATTGGGAAAGCTTCTTCTCAACTAGTCCTGCAGGTATACCTCTCACTGGCCTTAGGCCTCTGGCCTCAAGGTCCCTTTGGATAAGCGTTAGGAAAGTCCTTAGCTCCGCCAGTAATGCTGAGAGGCAGCCCACTCCACTAGCACGCTTCCCACCTGAAGGTGCTCAGCTTTCTTGCTCCCTGGGCTAAGAAGCTCACCACACCATCTCTGCCTTTGCTATTGCCATTTCTCTGCTGCTGCTGCTGCTTGCTGTCTCCTGCTGTCTTCAGTGTTACAGCTCTGCATCTCTGTCTCCTTGGTCTAGGAGGTTCTCAGTACAGGGATCCTTGGTTCAAAGATGTATTCCACCCCTGGCTCTTCTTTTTTGGTGGTTGTGAGATCCTTTCCACCCTCTGGGATGGGTTTTTTTTTTTTTCCTAGTGTCTGGCAAAACAGACCAATGTCCTTGTTAGGGTTCCAGACATCTTATTTGCACAATTCCACCTCCACAAAGGTGCCATGCACCTTATTTAGATTATTAACAAGCTATCTAACTTCCTTGGTGGGTTACAAGTACCTCTTTTGCATAGTCCCATCCAGTCATTTGAGAATTACAAAGACTGTGGCTAGGAGCCCTGGTGTGATGCTGTAGGCTAGGCACTGTACTGCTAACTGCAAGGTCTGTGGTTCAAACCCACCAATTGCTCTTTAGAATCCCTATATAGGGTCACTTGTAAGTCAGAACTGACTCTATGGTACTTAACAACAACAACAACAATAACTAGAAGGATCATATTAAGTAATTCATGGCACCATGCACTGCTAATGAGCTCTGGTAGCATAGTGGTTACGAATTGGGCTGCTATCTTCAGGGTCAGCAGTTCAAAACTACCAGCTGTTCCACAGGAGAAAGATGAGGCTTTCTGCTCCATAAAGCTATACAGCCTCGGAAACCCTGTACAGGGGCGCTATGAGTCGAAACTGGCTCCATGGCACATAACAACAAAAACAACATACACTGCTACCAAAAAGAATATTCTGAGGAGAGAATGAGATTTACCCATGTCTCTATAATCTGCTGAGGAGCACTGGTAGCATAGTGGTTACGAATCGGGCTGCTAATGTCAAGGTCAGCAGTTCGAAACTACCAGCTGTTCCACGGGAGAAAGATGAGGCTTTCTTCTCCCGTAAAGATTTACAGCCTCGGAAACCCTGTACAGGGTCACTATGGGTTGGAACCGACTCCACGGCATACTACCACCACCACTACTACTATAATCCACTACAGTGACAATTACATAAACTTACTTTAAAAAAAATTTTTTTTATAAATCAAATATTGGGTATTTAAATAAGATTACCATCAATCCTGGTGTGGCTCTGGATTGCAAAGTCGCTTTGAATCACAAGGTTGGCGGTTCAAGCTCGCCAGCTGCTCCTTGGAAACCCTATACAGGGTTGCTATGGGTTGGAACTGACTCGACGGTACTTAACAACAACAACCACCACTCCCATCTCAGAGCTGTTCATCACCTTGAATTTGGAACATGTCATTCCCTTCTTTACTTTATGGTTTTCCATCTCATGCAAATCACTTTTAAAATGCACGTATGTTATAGCAAACCTTGTGTGTAACAAGTTTTAGTGGCTTTTGAATGATTGTTATGTGTGTGGAGGAAAGGAATGGAAGAAATTAGATGTTTTAAAGGCGTCGATGCTTAATATTCTCTTATGTTAGACTTTAAAATGTTTTTGTTTCTTTTGAAGTGTTTAATTAATTTTATGGTACTATTTTCTTTCTGAAACTAAATTGGGGTAATTGGAAAACCAAGGTTGTTTTTTAAAATCTTTTAAAAAGTATCAGAGTTGAGATGCTTTTCAATTGAATGTTCCTGTAAAAAACGCGAATGGGCCCAGAGAACAATTTCCCAGGACTTCTGTGCTTCTCCAGTCCTGTAGTATGACACTTTCAGTAAACTTCTCAATAGTTTGTTTAAATTGTTGCAAAGACATCTTTGGGTTTTGAGTAATTAGACTGCTGGAAAATGTGGTGCTTACATATATATATTTGTGTAAGTATGCATTAATCTCTTCTTATGCTTTACTTACTATGTTTGTAGTTAATGAATTTGTATAGATTTGGTCTGATCTTGTGAGGGCTTGAGACAAATAGGAAGGATTGACTTTTTCTTTAATTAAATGGATGACCCTTCGCTAAGAATGAAATGATTTCATTTTATTTAAAAGCTCTCTTTGTTTTGGTCTTCTCAGAGATTATTGATGTTCCCTTTATTTGTTTCATTTTTGTGTTTTGTACATAAATTTTGAGCTTCAACGAAGGCCTTATGTGATGATTGATCCTAGTTGTCCTTATTTCTGTTATGGATGGACATTTTTAGAAAGGAATCAGATTATAGCTTGAAATTCTCTATTCTTCTAATGCTCTCTGTCCTTCCCAAGCAAATCCCGACATAGACACACACATACAAACCACTATAAACTTCTTGATTATGTTTATTTTCTTAGAATCTCCCCAGATGACAGTTCTCTGATCCGTCTCTTAGATGTTAATAGAAAATTGCTTCATGTCTTTCTCATCCAATGGAGACTCTCACATTTTTAAAAGGGGCATCCTGGCAATGAAGTGAAT